AATGAGAAGAAAAAACTTTGATCCCTCGAAATTCAGAAATCAATATAATACAAACCCATACCTCTCCACCAATGGCAAATTTGGCACCATCTGTGCTGAAAGCAAGACACTTTTGTGGTCCAACAGATTCTAGTGGAGGAGCATCTCTTGGAATAATGCGTACTGTGAACTCTTCAAATATCAGTTTGAATAACCTATAGTTTGGAAAGATGATATGGTAATTAAGTCATAGACTTGATAAAGTATAAGCAAAGGACAAACAAACAAAATGGATCAAGGAAGGAGAAGCTTTCAGTAGTAAATATGATCAAAACTAAAAGGAATGAAATTAGTGTGGAAATTAAAAAATGTTCAATTGGTTAGATTAACAAGGAAACTGAGGAAGAATATTTCTATTGCACTTATGATATCCATGAGCAAAATTAAGCTGCTTTAAATTATCCAGATGATCATTTGTTGCGAAATTGATGACGATGCAATTATATGACATAAATTTACAAACTGTGTATCGCTGTAAGTATAAATTGCAATGGTAACTTTTCATTCTCCTATCATTTTGTATCTCATAATCTCATAAATCTATAGGTTCTACTAATAAGAGTAGTTTTACTAAAACTTGAGAAATCCAGAGCGTAAGCATTACATATATGTTGCAACTTTCAAATTACATGTCATGCATTTCTTACATAACTAAACTACCAGGAGGAGAAATTCTTGTCGTTAGACACTAAAATCACTGCACATTTGGAAGATCACGAAGATCTACATAAACTTATATTCCCAAATGAACTAGTACAACTAATTCCACAAAATCCATTACTCAATTGCATAGCTTTATCTATTTAAGACCTGTGACCATTTGGTACTATGGTGCCAAAGAAGACTGAGGAAATGCTAATTTTCTGAAAGCGCTTTCAAGGAGTGCTCGAATCATTGTTTACACTAGTATCCATATCATCTCTCCGTTGTCCAACATGTGGATCAAAATTTCCCCACTTATACCAGCAAAACTGTCCAATAGCTAGTTATCAGCACAATCTGACCCTGTATACATAATAATGGTAAAGTACAAGTACATTTCAGCAATGTTAGTAGCTGGGCAGCACCATTGGTTCAACCCAAGAGCGAATAAAACGAAAGTGTGATCTGCGATGAGTAATGAGAGGATGCTCCAATTTCCAAAACAGAGCCCTGATTGAGCTGAGCCTCCTTAAAATAGCAAGTCAGCTGTCAATTGAGCAATTCAGCCGCAGATATAAACTAAAATCGCTCTGAATTCCACACTCAACAACTAATTAGTGCCACTGATGGGCGGACAGACCAACGGTCCAACAGTGCACTCCAAATCACCCAAACGGGCAAAAACCGGAAACTGTTGCGCGGGCAGGGGGGCAAACCCACCCAATCCATCGCCGAGAGAACGTCCTCACCCCACGCACCACTCTAAAATTTCACCACTAACACCAACACGAACAAGCGGTTTCGTGGAGGAGCGAATGGCGCACCTACAGCTGTGGCGATGGCGCAGACAAGCCGAGGGGACGGAGCACCGGGTCGCCGCCCGGCCCGATATTCTGCGACCTTCTCCTCGCTCACCCCTCCACCGTGATGCGTGGGGACGGAGCACCGGTCGCTGCTTGGCGCGGCGATCTGCAGGAGGCGGGCAACAAGACCGCCTCCCAGTGGCGAGTGCAACCGCGTGATCGGTGAGGTGGCTGTGCAGGCGCGGCGGGCACCGAAGTCCGCTCCAGCGTCCGCGAACGCCGCGCTGGAGGAGGGTGGCGGCGGCGCTTGGCGTCGTGATGGCCCGGTGGCGCGGCGGCGCGGCGCGGCGTGGCGTGGCGGGAGGGAGGGAGCGCGCCAAGCGCGCCGGGCGGGCAGCGTTGGCGGCGGCGCGCTGGGACGGCCGGGAGCGGCGGCGCTGGCTGTCTATCTGTGGGCTTGACCGCCTATGAATTCGGTAAAGTCCCCCACCCGCCCCTTTGCCGAGCGCCGGATCAGGGAGGCACTCGGCAAAGAGGCAACTTTGCCGAGTGCCCCGATCTAGCCGTCGTAATTTTTTTTTAATTTCTTTGCCGAGTGTCGCACTTGGTAAAGAGGAAATTTCTAAAAAAAAATTTAAAAAACTCTTTGTCGAGCGTTTTATTCTTGGCACTCGGTATTGACTTTCTTTGTCGAGTGTCATGCCTCGGTGCTCGGCAAAGTTTTTTTATATTTTTTGTTTTTTTGCCTTTAAATTTTTTATGCAGCCCCTTTTAAGTATCAGGAACTCCTCGTTAGAATTTGAAGATTTTTTGTGGCTTTTTTATATATTTAGTTACTTTATTTCGTTTACTTGAATTTTTTCGAAAAATATAAATTTGAACTACATGTAGTACGAATAATGGAATTTAATGATTCAAAAATGATAGTCATATTCTTGAGTGTAGTGTGGCCTTAGTATCCGAGAATGGACCCGAAATTTGGGACATCTTGTTCAAAACATGACTTGCATGCGAACTTGCATGCGAAGTTTTTTAAAATTCTATAAAAAGCAAGCGAAGTTTGAAATCATAAAACTTGTTGAGATATCAATGATATCCGGTTTGTATGTCGCTGTGCTATGATAAAAAATTTCAAAATCATTTCCACATACGTGCATGTTGTCAACGTTTCAATATGCTTCGCTTGCTTTTTATAGAATTTTCAAACAAGATTCGCGTCATGTTTCGTGAACAAGATGTCCGAATTTCGGTTCGTTTCGAATACGGCGACACTACACTCAAGAATATGACTATCATTTTTGAATCATTAAATTCCATTATTCGTACTAATGCAGTTCAAATTTATATTTTTCAAAAAAATTCAAGTAAACGAAATAAAGTAACTAAATATATCAAAAAGTTACAAAAAATACCCAAATTGTAACTAGGAGTTCCTGGTGCTTTAAAAGGGCTGCACAAAAAATTTGGAGGTAAAAAACAAAAAAACTTTGCCGAGTGCCGGGGCATGGCACTCGGCATGCCGAGTGCCAAGAATAAGGCACTCGGCAAAGAGGGTTTTGAATTTTTTTAAAAAAAATTTCCTCTTTGCCGAGTGCTTTCATAGGGCACTCGGCAAAGACATTTTTAAAAAAAAATTAAATCTTTGCCGAGTGACAGATCTATGACACTCGACAAAGAAATTCAAAAAAAAAAATAAATCTTTGCCGAGTGACAGATCTGAGACACTCGGCAAAAAAAAAAATTTAAAATTAATTTTTGCCGAGTGCCTAACAACAATCACTCGGCAAAGAAGGACGTGGCCGAACACCGTTACGCGTGACAGCCTATGCCGAGTGCCGAGCTTTTGCCGAGAGTTTGGCACTCGGCAAAGAAGTCCTTTGCCAAGTGCTCTTCTTTGCCGAGTGCAATTCTTTGTCGAGTGCGGCACTCGGCAAAGAAGGTCTTTACCGAGTGCCCGATTTTTAACACTCGGCAAAGAATTTTGCACTCAGCAAAGTCTCTGTTTCTAGTAGTGTGCCTAATAGGCAAACGATATAGTATTTTGCCTTTAGAGCATCTGCAAATTTTCAATTATCCATATTATGCGTTATGCGCTATCCCAAACTTTAATTTATTTTATTTATGGCTGATCTAGATATTTAATTACATGAACTACAAGATCAACATTGATCACCTTAGAGATGGCATGGAACACAAAGTTTGATTTATTTTATACCTAATCTAGCTATCCAAATAAAGGAACTTCAATATCACAAAGGTTAGCTCAGATGGCGCAGCAACGCCGCGCCCCAAAAATTTGAGGGAATTCTTTACGAGCCATTAAAAAAGATTGTAATTCCCTGTGAGCCACTGAAAAAGTTCGGCAGACTTCAGCGCCACTGTTCCAACTTTTTTTTGCCCTCCATGCCACTGCCGTCAGATTGGGCTCTAACGGTGTCAAACTGCAGGTGTAAAAAATCAAAAATACCCTTAGGTCTAAATATGTCATTAATTTTTTTTAATATCTTAACGATTTCAAATGAAAAAACTCAAAACTAGAAAGTTGTAGATCTCGTCGAGATATATAATTTTTGTATAAAAATAATCTTCATTTAATACCGCAAAAAGATATGATTTTTCTAAGATATGCTAATCATATCAAATCATATCTTTTTTGCGGAATTAAATGGAGATAATTTTTATATGAAAATTATAGATCTCGACGAGATCTAAAACTTTCTAGTTTTGAGTTTTTTCATTTGAAATCGTTAAGATGCTCAAAAAAATTAATGACATATTTAGACCTAAGGGTATTTTTGACTTTTCACACGTACAGTTTGACACCGTTAGAGTCCAATCTAACGACAGTGGACATGGAGGGTAAAAAAAATGAAACAGTGACGCTGAAGTCCGCCGAACTTTTTTAGCGGCTCACAAGAAATTACAATCTTTTATAATAGCTCACGAGGAATTTCCTCAAAAAAAAATTCTAGCTCACGATCGTAAATTTCAAGCCAAACACAGTGTTTTTCTCTCACACCAAACCAGCCAATACAATTCTCCCGAACAGGCTGCCGAACTCCACAGTCTACACAATCTGGCACACTCTACGCAAAGCCGCTTGTGGTTTTCCAGTTCTACGCTAGGCTGAAGGTAATGCTACTCTTGCGAATTCGCTTTTAAATTAAATTTAAATTTAAATTACATGTAAGGTACTCCGTACTGTATAAGCTTAAGATTCACATGCACACGAGACACGAGCAGAACTTGGCAGCCCAACGAGCTAGTACAGCCACGAACCTGAAGCTACACCATTCTACGTACTACAACGTACCCTATATAAGGGAGACCAAAACTGCAAACTTGGAGGACCCCTTTGTAGCTTAGCGCAGGCAAGAACCTGAAGCACGGCGTGCGTACACAAGACACGACATAATCCAATAATACAACGCTGGGAAAACAGACCTACAACTACGTATGCTATGCAATGCAAGCCGACCTGGGCCGCGTGCCTAGAGGTAGCGCGCGCGCGCCGTCTCACATCAGGTGGCCCCCGCCATGCAGCATCCCGCCGGTTTGTGGCGCCGCCGCCGCCGCCGGAGAAGAGAAGTCCGGCCACACTGAACCCGCACCGGCGCCTGGTGGCATCTTCCACGTGGTCACGCTGTCGTTGTCCATCAGCAGCCCCGCGGGCCAGAGGAAGGACGACGACGACCCGGCTGCGGAGCCACCACCTCCCCTGAGCCCGAGGCCTTGCATTTGCACGGCCACCGCCTCGCCGGCGCCCGCGCCCAGGTGTAAGGGCCCGGTTGTCGGGAGCCCGAGCCCGAGGTCGAAGTCGAACGACGACGACCCTGCGCCGCGGCCTTCCAGCAGCGGCCCCGCGGCGCCGAGCGCGAACAGCGAGCCGAGGAGGCCGCCACCCTGTCCCTGCGACGACGACGGCAGGGGAGGCATCATCATCGGGGGCGGGAGGCCGAAGCCGAAGGCGTGCGCCGCCGGAGCGGGCCTGCTGGCGTGCTGGTGGTGGTGGTGGTGGTTGTGGTGCGCCAGGCGCGGGCGCTTGCGGGTGGATCCGCCGATGGGGACGTTGCGGAGGGAGCCGCCCAGCGTCCAGTAGCGGCGGCAGGCGCGGCAGAAGTGCCGCGGCTGCGACGTGTTGTAGTTGTTGTAGTAGCAGAACTTGGTGTCGTGCGACGCGCACCGCGGGCACTGCTCCCCGCGCGCCGCGCCGCCGGTCCCGCCGCTGCTGTTGCTCTTATTGGCCGCCTGGGCGGCGGCCGCGGCGTCCTGCAGCTGCTGGAGATAGGCGGCCATGTCGGCCGCCGCGCCACCCGTGGTGCCGGTGTTATTGTTGTTGGTGCTGCTGCCGGAAGTGGCGGCCATCGTCGTCGCGGTCGTGGTGGTGAGGTGGTGGTGGACGTCGTGCTTGTAGGTGTTGTGCGGCAGTGGCGCGAACGGCGCCATGGTGATGGGAGGCTGCAACCGCGCCGCCTGCGCTTCCATTACTTGGCCTGCCATTGGATGCTCCTAGCTTGAGATTGGAGAAGTTGATGCTCTCTAGCGATCGAGGAACGGATGTCTGTGTGCGTAGTACGAGCTTCTTGCTGCTGTTTGAACCGGGACGCCGGGCCAAGGGTGGTATATATACGCGCGTGCATGCTAGTAGTCGCTCCAAACGCAGACACAGACAGAGATTGAAAAAGACTGATGGGTACGGATGGTGACAGAAGGCTGTCGAGTTCAGTACGCAGGGCGCAGCCTGGACAGTGGATTCCAGGCTGCGGGCGCCACCGCCACGCCACGCCAGACACTACCGGGCCGCCGAGCTCTGCTACGAGCTGTACCTTTCTTTGCAGTTCCAGCCAAGGAATCTGACTGCTCACGCGACCACCTGCTGGTGTTGTGCCTACTACTCTAATGCATGCATGGTTTGTCCATGGTGCGCCGTCCGGTCAAACTCACGTACTCCTTCCATGTCGTGTCTCCATGCATGCACTAGGTGAAGTTTTCTTCTTGCAGCTAGCTAGCTCCTCACTCCGTCCAGAAAAAAACGTAAACACGAGCAATCATGAGTGATTGACGATGATCAACTTGCCATAGTACTCCACCGGCGTTGCAAGTTGCCAATTGCCGTGCCATAGGTCCACAACCTCCACCGTTGATTGTACCTCGTCATGACGTGTGTGATTTGTACCTTGTATTCTGGTCGGACAGGTCGATTCACCGGAGGACGACATACAGGAATATAAGGTCATTCGCTCACTGCAAGTTTGATGGGAGTTCTTCAATCTGTATAACATAGCTGACACATACGTACTCGCAAGCTAGCACTTGGCTCCCTTGTGGATTGTTTCGGGCTCCTGCCCTAGATATTAGCATAGAAAAAAAAAAGTCTGTCTATACCTCACTTGATGCATCACACGAATTATTGTTCATCTTCCTCCTCCCAACAAATCACTGTCCATCTCCCTCCTCGCCCCCAACCGCCACCCACCGCCCACTGCGGCCGCGCTAGGATTTCGCCAGAGCTCCACGATCTTCTCTCAATGGGAAGTTATAGTACACATAAGAGGCAATATAATTACAAATATGCACTACCGAAAACTGGCACTTTGCCGAGTGTCGGAGGCTTTGCCAAGTGTATTTTATCGGACACTCGGCAAAGACGGTCTTTACCGAGTGCCAAATAAAATACACTCGGCAAAAAAAAAAACACTCGACAAAGATGACTTTGCCGAGTGTTTTTTTTCGTCACTCGGCAAAGATGTATTTTGCCGAGTGCCATTTTTTGGCACTCGGCAAAATGCGTCTTTGCCGAGTGCCTTTTTTCTAGCACTCGGCAAAATGCGTCTTTGCCGAGTGCCTTTTTTCTGACACTCGGCAAAGATGTATTTTGCCGAGTGCCATTTTTTGGCACTCGGCAAAATGCGTCTTTGCCGAGTGCCTTTTTTCTGGCACTCGGCAAAGAGGCATTTTGCCGTGTGCATTTTTTTGGCCCTCGGCAAATCATTTTTTCGAAGCAATTTTTGAGGCCCTAAATGAATTCAAATGAAAACTTTTCAACTACAAAGTTGTATAACTTCTCAAGATCTACAAAGTTTATTTTAGTCATTTCTTCATTTGACAAAGCGACAATAACGTTGTTCATAAAATCTACATATCTCTCATATTAGTTTCATGAAAGTAGAAGAGAGATATATAAGATTTGTGAACAATGTTACTACCACTATATCGGATGAACAAATGACCAAAATAAGCTTTGTAGATCTTGAGAAGTTATGAAATTTTGTAGTTGACAACATTTTGATTTGAAATCATCTTGTCATTCAAAAACGACGTTTGAATTTAAAAATTTTAAAATTTGAATTTTTCAAAAGACATCGGATGGAAAAACTTCCTAAATGAAAATTGTAGATCTCCAAAAGTTATGAAACTATGTAGTTGACAACTTTTTGATTTGAAATTGTAGATCTCCAAAAGTTATGAAACTATGTAGTTGACAACTTTTTGATTTGAAATCATCTTATCATGCAAAACTACGTTTGAATCTCTCAAATTTAAAATTCGAATTTTTCAAACGACCTCAGATGGAAAAACTTCCTAAATACAAATTGTAGATCTCCAAAAGTTATGAAACTATGTAGTTGACAACTTTTTGATTTGAAATCATCTTATCATGCAAAACTACGTTTGAATCTCTCAAATTTAAAATTCGAATTTTTCAAACGACCTCGGATGGAAAAACTTCCTAAATGAAAATTGTAGATCTCGAAAAGTTATGAAACTTTGTAGTTAACCACTTTTTGATTTGAATTTGTTTAGGGCCTCAAACAAGCAATTTACTCTCGATTTAGTATAATATATGAGGATATATAACGGAATCTAGACACAAGTGACAGTGTAGTGCAGTGGTAGCAGCAGACACGCGAAGGAGAGGTCGTAAGTTCAAATCCTGCCGGCTGCGTTAGCCGCGAATTTAGCGCAAAAAATACACCGACTTCGATGAAGACGGACGAGCGTTGGCTGGTGGCGGCCTCCCCCGAATTTTTTTTTCTTTGCCGAGTGTTCAACAAAAAGCAGTGCCCTTTGCCGAGTGCCACACTCGGCAAAGCTTGAGATTCCAATAGTGATGGCCATGGCAATGCTTTGTAAAATATTATATTGGCCCTTCCTTTATTGGCCAAGCTCCACGCCTCCATCATTGCTCACGACGGAGGTAGATCGTATCGCCGGACAATGCACCACCAAGTGACGATAACTTGGCGATCACCATTCCTCATGTCACGTTAGACACTAAGTCAGAGATTATTGATAGAAGACGGCCGGCGTATACATCTATGGAGCACCATTGCATTGCACATGTACGTATTAGATATTGTCGTCGTGCGTACGGTGTGCTCTTCACAACAATTAGGGGACGTTTGGTTCCCAGCCACAATTTTTCATGACTAATGTTAGGCACCAGCCATAATCTATGGCAAAAACAAGTTGTTTGGTTAATGACTAAGATTTGACAAAATAAGTGTGGCTGTTGTTTGGATTCCTGCCACAAAAACTTGGCAAAATATTGTGGCATATGTTTGGTTTGTAGCCACATATACCTCAATGCTATAGTGGTAAGACACCCATTTCCCATACAACAATATATATTCTAGCAATAATAAAAAGTAACAATCAGCATATGTTTCAATAATATTACAAGCACGAAATTCCGTCTTCATAAATACATTCTAGGAGGTTTAGATTAATTACAAAAGCAGCCGCCAGCCATGCATGCATCAGCCAAAATGAGCACACATCCAACTATATTACATCCTAAGCCATCAGTCATCACTACAACCAAAATAATCACACAACCAAGTTCTTTTTCTTGATTTAATCCTATACAGATGCATGGCCAGACACACAAGAATACCAGTAATTAATCTTCTCCTCCACATATAATGGCAGTAGTCCAAATAATACTGCAAGTTCAATTTTCTTTGACCTAGCTAAAACATATGTTTAGAAAAAGATGAAATTAGTAATAAACTAGAAGTAGTGAAGCGTACAGTTAGAATAGCTTTGAAAGATCAAAGTCACGAGCTCATTTTGTCAAGAAAAAAGAATCATCTAGCACCACAGGCCAAGGCTCAAGGTGCTGCATATATTATCTAACATAATAACTCATCTTGCCTAGATTAAAGAAACAAAAAGCTGTGACTTCTCCATATATATATATTAAACAAAGGAAATCTAACCAGCAAGACAGTAGATGGATTCACCGGATTTCAGCATGAATTTATTTCTCCATGAGAAAATCAATGGCAAAGGGGGAAAATGGATTTATACCTTGTTTGGCTGCAGGAGGTTGCCGTGCTTAAATCTTCTTTAGCTGCAGGGTTTAATTGCCGCGCATGACCCAACACCACGGGATGGATGGACCTTCATGAGATGGATGGACCTTCACCTGGTTCACTGTTTTGTTCCAGATCTGTACACATGGAGGAAAACCAGAGGTCAACAGACATGGCAACGAGAAGGGGAAAAGCAATACGACTGAGGCGGGAGAAGATGAGAAGGTGGACATCACCTGCGTGGAAGGAGAGGCAGGCCGTGCTCACTAAGAACGACGACGCGAGGGGGAAGAAGGCAGCAGAGAGGCGAGATGGGCGCGGCGGCCGCCCTTGGGCGCACGGCGGAGCGGCCCCTGGGAGCGCGGCGGCGCGGGTTGGAGGTCGGACGGGAGCGGCCGCTCGGCCTGTTTCACGGAGGAAGGCGAGGGAGTGGACAGAGGAGAACGGTAGGGTGCTTTTTTTTATTCGATGGGAATTGGCTTTGGCGCGCCATGGGCTTCGTGGCGGCAAAAACACCCGCCACACTTTTGCGGCGAAAATATGCGGCGGCATGGTTCCGTGACGATGGCTTGCCATAGCAGTATCACGAACCAAACGGCTACCAAAGTTAGCGTGGCAGACTTAAGGTTAGGCGTGGCAGCTGGGGGCCGGAACCAAACGTCCCCTTAATCTGTCATGGTGTGCATTGCATGTACGTAGTAGGATGGAGTAGTACCGTGCAATGTGAGGTCCTTGTTCGTTCGGAATCCATTGCTACGCCTGCCCTGGCCCTGCCCGGCCTGCCCGAACGAGCGCTAGCTGCGAGGAGACGAGACGAGCATGGATAATGAAGGTGCTGCAACCGAGGCGGCGGGGCAAACAGGCACCTATCTAGACACCGATCGATCCTACGGATGGCGTAGCCGTGTCTGTCCTTGCTTGACTGACCCATGCAGACGAGGCGATGGAAGACGGCCGGACGGGCCGACTGGAGCTGATGCGTTGTTGTCATGGCCATGCACCCCGGACCAGCGACCACGACCGAGCATCAACATGCATGGTCTCTTCCTGCCCAGAGATACTGATGGCATGGGACCCGCGTGCAGTGCAGGGGGACCAGACCAGCAGCGAGCCCGCCGGCCGCCGGGC